TGTGTGTGTGTGTGTGTGTGTGTGTGTGTGTGTGTGTGTGTGTGTGGAGGACAGATGAAAAGCAAAGACGATTGCTGGCAGAGAACAGAAGTTACTGCCGCATAGATCACCTTGAGACGCATAGAAACCCAGGAGGCTGGGAATAGTTTGAGAAATTATATATATATATATTTTCAATCAGAGGAATGTTGCTCCATAAATCCTTATTTATAGGATGAATAATATGATATTTTATATGTCCCGTGTCTCTATTCTGGTTGTGTCTTATAAAAAAAAAAAGTTAGCACCTGTTCTAAATGTTATGTATTTGGAAGCACAGTGGAGCACTGCTCTACAATATTACACTACCATCCTGTAGTAGCTAAAGTAAACCACTAGGTGGTGACAGTCATTCATAAGTTCTTTTTGCAAAGGCGTCAGTATTAGAATTAAGCACACCATTAGAATTAAAAGAATCACTATTGCAATTGCCCATAATGATCAAACTTCACACATTTCATTAGAAAATATTGTATTGAAAATCCCTAAATTGGATCAGGTGCAACAGTTTTAAGTATAAACACAACATAATGGATTTGCACTGGTCAGCCAACCTATGAACCAATCAGATCCTTAGTTGTCTTATAATGAGTGCTCATTTGTTATGCCAATTAAAATGTGTCTGTTGTTCATTTAGCATGGCAGGAACAGTTGCAGCATTGTGGAGGTGCTTAGCCAAACGTTAAGCCCAGTGACACAGAAAACCCCAGTCTGAACTCTTTCTTTAGCTTTCTCCGTTTCTCTCTTTCGTTCTATGTTTCGACTACATGGGTAAGAGTGCAGAGAACATAGTATAAGGTTAATCATCAAGTGGACTGTATGTGAATATACACTATCATTCAAAATTTGATCTGATCGGTAAGATTTTTTAAAAATGTAAAATGTTTGCAGTTTAAATTAACTGCTTTCTATTTAAATATGTTTTAAAATGTAATTGATTGCTGTAATCAATGAATTTTCAGCATCATTACTCCAGTCTTCAGTGTCACATGATCTTTCAGAAATCATTCTAATATGCTGATTTTTGACTCAAGAAACATTTCTTATTATTACCAATATAGAAAACTGTTGTGCTGCTTTATATTTTTGTGGGAAATGATACATTTTATTTTCTAGATTCTTTGATGAATAGAAAGTTCAGTATTTATTTGAAATAGAAGTATTTTATAATATTATGCATGTATTTGGATCTCTCTTTTGATCGATTGAATGCATCCTTGCTGAATGTCAGTCTCAGAAGCATGCCAGTTATCAAATATATGAACAGACTTATTCCGGCTTCCCCATGCACTGATTTATTGGCTGTTTACCGCAAAACTGTACTACAGAGTTTTCGGACTGACAACCGCACTTACTGTAAATGCAGAAGCAAATACCTTTTAATTATAATTCATTGTGAAATTTTCAATTTAAGCGACTTTAGTTGTAGCCGGTAAATAACTAAACTATGTCCAGAGAAAAATTAAACACTCATTTGAGCAGTGAATGTATTCATTTGCTGTGTGTGTGTGTGTACGTGTTTTTGTGACAAATGAGGACATAAATGTGTATAATGACAAAGGTATGACAGGTATTACAAGGAGAAGGTGACTTTTCAGGACATTACCCCATGTCCCCACTTTTCAAAACGCTTATAAATCACACAGAATGGAGTGTATTGAAAATCTGAAATAGCACAAAGTCTCCTGTGAGGGGTAGGGTTGGTGTAGGGCAATAGAATATACGGTCTGTACAGTATAAAAACCATTACACCTATGGAGAGTCCCCACTTTTCACAAAAACAAACCTGTGTGTGTGATCAAATGATTCATTATTCAACTATTCTAAAGAGAATCATGGGAAAGAAAACAAGAGGTTTGTACATTTTAAAGAGTGTGTGAACTGAGGAGCCGCTGTAGAGGGAGAGATTGAGAGATGTTACATGCCACACCGCACTGAAGTCATTAGAGCGTCAGCAATGTTCACAAAGAGAGAGATAACAGTGGGAAACTCTTTGGGAAGGAAATATCTGGCAAGTCTCTGAGTTAAACAGTATAAGGATGGATTGAAATTTCAGGATCTTTGGAATCGAGATATTTAACGACTAAAAACATTGATTCAGTCACAAAGAGATTCAAACAGCAGCACTGGTCTCATATGTCCACAAACACCTGAGGAGATGAGTGAGAGCGTAGTCTCTGGACAAACGGCTCAGGTGGACTGCAAAAAGCTGAGCATTAATACAAACATGGCTGAGGTCCAGAGAGTCGCATCAGAGAGGCGTTTTGGCAGAGATGGTCTGAGAAAAAAAGCCCACTCCGTGTTTTGCTGGCATTGCTCTGCGCTGAAGGAGAGGAGCGTCCTGACCCGCTGTCACACACCGTACAGGTAGAAACTGTTTGGACAGGATGCAGATCGTCACTGTATTGCTGTATTAATCTGTCATTGTCCTCATGAATGTAATGTAGCAGTATTTAGCAGAAAAGGCAAGCATTACTATTTTTATTGTTTATAAATTGGTATTAGAAAACCAGAAACAACCCAGAACACCTACAGTACAATGGGCAAGCAACACTCACTTTTGAGAATCTTCATAAAATGTTCAAATTATTACAGTGAAGTTATTTTTATTAATGCATTTTTTTTCTCTTTGGTTCTTACAAAATTATTTCTTCTAAATTGTTCACATTTAGATGATCCATCCAGAAATATGGAACAGTGTAATTTTAGTTGCTATTATTACTATTATAGTTTTTTTATTTATTTTGAATTAGATTTTTCTTTCTTTTTTATTGGTTTTTGTCATTTTTATTTCATTTCTGTTTTTATTTGTAAATGTGTGTGTGTATATAGTTTTAACTAAATGTTAGTTTTAGTTTTTTTTAGAACTTCAAACTAAACGAAAATGAGAAACACGCTAAAATATAAGTTTGCATTTTTTCCTATATTTTGTTTCAGATATTGTTTAAGTGAGTAAATCCTCTTCAAGTGTGTGCCTTTAGTGTTATTTAGTATTGTTAATGCTGTTACTTTATACATGCCAACACTTTACAATAAAGTTTCATTTGTTAACATTAACTAACATTGAGCAATATGTTTTTACAGCATTTTTTAACCTTTGTTAATGTTAGTTAATAAAAATGTTTGTGTTCATATTAGTTGACAGTGCATTAATGTTAACAGATACAACTTTTGATCTTAAATGTACTAGTAAATGTTAAGATTAATAAATTCTATAGAAGTATTATTTATTGTTTGTTTGTCAACTAATGTAGTTGGCTAATGTTAACAAATGAAACCTTATTTTAAAGTGTCACCATACAGAAATGTATTAATATGCGAATGAATTATATAGAGAGTGTGTGTGTGTGTGTGTGTGTATATATATATATATATATATATATATATATATATATACACACACATATACACACTCTATATAATTCATTCGCATATTAATACATTTCAGTTTTTTTCAATTATCCTTTTAATTTTAGTTTACATTTTAGTTATTTTGGTATGTGCTTTTGTCATTTCATTAGTTTTTGTTGGTTTTAATATTTCTATTTGGGTTTCATTTATTTTAATTAAATTTGTAGTCATTTTTAGTACTTAAACGTATTTCAGTCAGTTGAAAAAGCTAAATTTCTCATTTTCATTTAGATTGTTCATCAATGTTTTTAATATTTAATAGACTCCATAGAATTTTTAATTGTTAGAAAACTTTCAGATTCATTTCAATTGACAAAAAAATGTTTTTAACAACGCTGTTGCACATGTCTTATCAATACATTATGCTGTCATTTTTATATTTTATGTTTTATTTTGTTTTATGTCATAAGCGGAGCTTGTCATTAATTTTTTTTTTATAAGATTCTGATCACAATAATGAATTTTCTTTAGAATAATGTGCACGCCGAATTGTTGACAGTAAAATCAGGAACATGTTAAAAAGTAAATGCAGTCAGATTTGAAGAAGAAATCAATCCTCAGTGAGTTTGAGCATCTTCTCTCTGACCTTGTGGTTTGCACATCTCTCTCTGTCCTGTGCCGGTCTCTGTGCCGCTGTTATATAAAGCAGGTTTTCATGCAGCTTTTATTGCTCACAGCGTCTGTATTTTAAGAGCTCTTCTCTCTCTGACAGGTGCATCATGGGAATGTTCATCCAGCGGTGTATCTCTGACAGGCCTTGGTCGTGTCTGTCACCCTTCCTTCCTTGTTTGTTCTTGCATTGTCATCTTCTTTGATCGTCTTTTTCATATCTGACTCCTTTTTAGCAATGACTTCAGTCGCCTGGTGGCAGAGGAATATCTGCGCTACTTCAATTTTACTGAAATGACTTTGGACCAAGCACTAAGGTCAGTACATGAAAAGTGACTTTCTTTTTGTTGAACTACAAACACAAATGATTATTATTGAGCTATTATTAACTATTTTGAGCTATTATTAAAGTATGTTTTATAAGAAAATACTCAGTATAATCTTCAGAATATTACTTCACTTCAGTCTTTCTACCTCAACATGTCACGTTTAATATTATTCTAAATTCTGTTTTCTCATTCATACATTTGTAATGTTTAATACAATGTTTAGTAATATACTATATATACAAGTTATGTAATAGTGTGTGTACGTGTGAGTATTATGATTTGTGTATATATATATATATATATATATATATATATATATATACCTACAAATGAACGTCAACAGCTCTGTATGCTCAGAAATATGATTGCAAACAATAGTGTTGTTTGCAATATCTCCGTTTTTAAAACAAAATTAAAAAAAAACAGGAATGCACTTAATGGAAGTCTACGGAGTTTAAGCGCTCTGTTTAACCCTTCAACACTGGAAAAGGCTGCGAGATGGACGTCCAGAGGGATCTGGGGTCTGTCAATCACTGCTGATTTCTGTCTGCTGGCAGGCTATTTAGCGCTGCTCCTGTGCTTTTGTTAAAGGGTTTAGGGCCATCAGCGAACACATGACGCCTGTTATAAGCCAGACTCACTGTCGCCATGGTAACAGGTTTATGGTCCTGATGAGAACTGTGAGCGATTTCAGCTTTCCTCTGATGAAACTCCTCAGTCCACAATATCAGATGATGTATTCCAGAGCCTTTCTGCAGCTCCAGACATTCATATATTCATGCTCTCGCAGATTAAATGTAGGACATCTCATGCTGACTTTCAGAGGCAGAAAATGCCCGACTCTGACATCTCATCTGAAAATGTGCAATAAATTACAAACTTACAGACTTTTTGAGCACCTTCAAATGCATCATTGGCTGAATCTGGTGACGAAATGTCCTGGATTTTTTTTTTTTAAGAATCTATATAACAAATAACAAATAAAGGGATTTTGGTTTCCATAAATAAAATTAGGCCTATCTTTAAATCTAAGTCTTTAAATCTAAAATCTCAGTTTTAGTCATTTCAGTATTTCAAAAATAACTTTGCAACTAACTGAAATAAGTTTGTTATATTTTAAATATTAAGTATATTTTATTTTTAAAACATTGTATAAAAATATAATAGTTTTAAAAAGTATTTAACATGTATATTATATGTATTTAATAATATAATTGTATTCTCGTTTTATAAAATTATACATTTTCAAATTTTCGCTTTATAGGAGTAAGAATATTATTTTTCACAATACACTGGGGAAACGCTGGAAAAATGTGATTAATTGCATTTTAAATTATTATTAAAATGCAATTAATATATATATATATATATATTATCCTCTGCATCATTAAATGTGTAAAAGTTCTTTTAGTCAGGCAGAATGCTGTTGATTTCTCTGTGTTATTGTGCAGATGATTGAGGACTGATAACAGCTCGTTTATCAGGTGTGTGTTGGTCTTTTCTGTTGGCAGAACGTTGGCAAGCGAATGTCCTGCACTCAGTTCATTGGGAATCTAGAAGGACTAAACAGCAGCCATGCATGAAAGTCTGTTAACTGCTAATCTAAAAACCTATTTGAAATTCTCAAGGGATCCTGTAGTGAATTAGCCTTCCGGCTTGGCCTACAAATGAACGTCAACAGCTCTGTATGCTCAGAAATATGATTGCAAACAATAGAGTTGTTTGCAATATCTCCGTTTTTAAAACAAAATTTAAAAAAAACAGGAATGCACTTAATGGAAGTCTACGGAGTTTAAGCGCTCTGTTTAACCCTTCAACACTGGAAAAGGCTGCGAGATGGACGTCCAGAGGGATCTGGGGTCTGTCAATCACTGCTGATTTCTGTCTGCTGGCAGGCTATTTAGCGCTGCTCCTGTGCTTTTGTTAAAGGGTTTAGGGCCATCAGCGAACACATGACGCCTGTTATAAGCCAGACTCACTGTCGCCATGGTAACAGGTTTATGGTCCTGATGAGAACTGTGAGCGATTTCAGCTTTCCTCTGATGAAACTCCTCAGTCCACAATATCAGATGATGTATTCCAGAGCCTTTCTGCAGCTCCAGACATTCATATATTCATGCTCTCGCAGATTAAATGTAGGACATCTCATGCTGACTTTCAGAGGCAGAAAATGCCCGACTCTGACATCTCATCTGAAAATGTGCAATAAATTACAAACTTACAGACTTTTTGAGCACCTTCAAATGCATCATTGGCTGAATCTGGTGACGAAATGTCCTGGATTTTTTTTTTTTAAGAATCTATATAACAAATAACAAATAAAGGGATTTTGGTTTCCATAAATAAAATTAGGCCTATCTTTAAATCTAAGTCTTTAAATCTAAAATCTCAGTTTTAGTCATTTCAGTATTTCAAAAATAACTTTGCAACTAACTGAAATAAGTTTGTTATATTTTAAATATTAAGTATATTTTATTTTTAAAACATTGTATAAAAATATAATAGTTTTAAAAAGTATTTAACATGTATATTATATGTATTTAATAATATAATTGTATTCTCGTTTTATAAAATTATACATTTTCAAATTTTCGCTTTATAGGAGTAAGAATATTATTTTTCACAATACACTGGGGAAACGCTGGAAAAATGTGATTAATTGCATTTTAAATTATTATTATTATTCTCTGTGTGTATATATATATATATATATTATCCTCTGCATCATTAAATGTGTAAAAGTTCTTTTAGTCAGGCAGAATGCTGTTGATTTCTCTGTGTTATTGTGCAGATGATTGAGGACTGATAACAGCTCGTTTATCAGGTGTGTGTTGGTCTTTTCTGTTGGCAGAACGTTGGCAAGCGAATGTCCTGCACTCAGTTCATTGGGAATCTAGAAGGACTAAACAGCAGCCATGATTTTCCTAAAGAACTCCTCAAGGTGATGTACTGTGTATTTCATAAATATAACTCACTAAAGCAGCATTTTGAAACTGTATTGTTTGCATTATTTATTATTGATGGTACATTCTCCATAGAGAAGATATGCATGTCAATAGGCCGTCTTCAGTAGATGGGTTAGAGATGTTTAGCAGGTGTGTTGTTCGTACATGTGTGTGTGTGTGTGTCTCTCTCTCTCTGTGTGTGTGTGTGTCTCTCTGTGTGTGTGTGTGTGTCTACTGGTTTATATATCCTGGTGGGGACTTAAACCTGACTACACACAGACTCGTGGGAACTCGTGTCACGGTGGGGACCTAAATTGTGGTCCCCATGGGTACAAAAGCTTATAAATCATACAGAATTAAGTTTTTTGAAAATCTAAAAATGCAGAAAGTTTCCTGTGAGGGGTAGGTTAAGGGGTAGGGTTGGTGTAGGACAATAGAATATACGGTCTGTACAGTAGAAAAAACATTACGCCCATGGAGAGTCCCCAAAAGGATAGCTGACCAGACATGTGTGTGTGTGTGTGTGTGTTTTGGCATGGGTTGATGGTGTGTACACTTGTGTGGTCATGCGACAGCTGTGCTATTATGCGTTCAGCGCTGCTGAGTCTGATTTGAAGCAGGAGAGATCTGTGTCCCGGTGGGAAGCGATGACTCTTTAGTAGGTCATTTATTGGTTTATATTATTAGATTAGTGCTGTAATGTCATTGGTAGGAAACGGGATGGTTTGCTTCCATTCATTAACCCTACAGGCACATTCTGAACTAATCAGATGAGTTCTTGAGTTAATACTAATGAGCTAAACGAGGTTTAGATTGATTTTGGGGCCAAGAGCGGCCGCGTCGTGTGTGTAGTGATGTTTTGAAGCTGCTGCAGGACTCTAATAATATTATATTTATTTATTTATTAATATTTTTTTTAAAGGAGTAAGAATATTTTACATTACAGTGGGTTATGTTACCGGGAAGGAGAATTTAAATGTGCTTAATTGTCATTAAAAAAACGTCGCAATGCAAAAAAAAACTAAAATAACAGTTAAAAAAATTATTTGTGTGTGATGTAATATTTATATATGTGTGTACTTTATTTATTTATTTTGCTTTACAATGGGAAAATACTGTGGAAATGTTCTTAATTTTACAAAAATGTAAACGTATACAAAATTTATTTAATATATATTTACAGTTATTCATTTATTCAATGTTACCAGGAAACTGGGAAACGTGCTTAATTGCATTTTAAATGTGCTTAAGTGTCATGCAGCAGATATGTCTGTATAAGACGTTTCTGGGTTTATTTTTCACAGGAAGTGGAAGGTCAGGTTAAAAGAACTGCATTGTGGGACACTGTTTGCACATGTTGTAAAATGCATTCAGCAAGTTCCATATGAAAATGTTTATACTGTGCACATTATGCATAGTGTATACTACAGTAATAGAAAGAGAATTATGATAGTATGCTGTTCTGAACATAGCTAACAAATGGTGGGTTTGCTGTTGGTTCAGTCTGGTTTGCACTGACGCATTCTTCAATAATGGCCTCTTTGCAAATCCGCATCGCATTGTGACTGGGAAAAAAAGCAGAGAAAATCCTGTTTTCCATGGCATGAATCCTTTGCAATCTCAGTGCTCTGTTAAAGGCGCAGCAGTGAGCTTTATCTGAGGAGCTGCTTGTGTTTCAGTCCTTCATCTTGTTGATGAAAACACTGACTCTCGCTGGGACAGAAAGCATCTGAAGAGCGATCGACGAAGCGAAGGAGAGCCGATGGAGATCGGTCTGTGTTCTTGCTGTTCATGCCAAGTGTTTTAAATCAGTCCCTATAGTTTTTCTGACGACCTCTCTTTCTCTCTCACTTCTCTTTCCTTCTGGCGATCCTTTTCTCGGTCCCTTGCAACATCAGTTCTCACACTCTTGCCTCCTACTCGTTCTGCTTCTCTCATTTAAACTCAACAGCTGAGCAGGACAACTTACATAAGCACACTTCACTCGCACATTGTCATATAAAGCAAAGCTGTTATTGTGGGGTGCTAATTATTGGACGAACAGGGTTATTGTTTAATATAAAATGGATTGTTTTGGCTCTAAAATCTGACTGGATGACTCTTCTTTCAAAGACGATGTACACACACCAGTGAGCACACAGCAGGACAATTATATATTGACGCAGCATGTTGCTAGACGCTAGTGAAATAGTAAATAGCCTTGTTTGTGCTTAATCATGGGTTTTTGATTGACTTGAAAAAATGTAATAATAAATAAATAAAAAGAAATCAAATAAATTTTTAAAAATTCCATTCTTAACCATGGGTTCTTTTGGCTTGCTTGCTTATTTTATTTATTTTATTTTATTTTAACTTTTTTTTATTTACATTTCTATACAGTATATATATATATATATATATTGAATTTGTGTGTTTTGTTACAATATGATATAAATTATGCTTTATAATAATATATCAGTTTATGAATAACTTGTCAAATTAATTTTGGGGTTCTTATTTTATTTAGAGTCTACAGTAGGTGTATTTGTTTATTCATAAAATAATTTAGAATATTTATATTGTTTTATAAATGATTTTGTATAAGTTCCTATTATATTTGAAGTGTGTGAATGTTTTTTGTTTTTTTCACTGTAATGGACACCAGCATCAGAGGGTTAAAGCAAGCGATGTATTTGTTCACATGCATTTATTTATTCAAAATTATTAGTTTACATCAAGTCACATCTGTGATGGAAAAAAGGAGGTCAGATGCAAAGATTTTGTGTCTGTGTGTCCCGCAGGAGGCATTTATTTAGTGCAGCGGTGAAAGACGATGGATTTGTGACTGTGTCTCTCACATGTGGGTTGCTTGTGGGCTTTTGCACACGCTGGTGAAGAGAGCTTGAAGTGCATCATCGTCATGGAGATGGAGGGGCGGGACTGAGGCTGTGCCACTGATAGGGTGGTCATGGGCTAACGGCGACCCATTTAACTGCAAGTCAGTCTGTGTGTGGAGATAACGACAGACGGGGGGTGAAAACAATTAGCTCTGTCCTGTTGAGCAAATTCACTCAACTCAGACCGAGCGGCTAATCGCTTTGTTCAAACTACAGGGCCGTCCGGGTGATGCTCATTCAGTCCCTGCGCAGCATGCCACGCTATTCCACTGACAGACAGAAATATCATCCAGGCCAATGAATTGCTTGGAGGCTGTCAGCAATAATCATGCTTTTCTGCGTTTTCAAATTTGTTGAAAACAGTTTGAGTAATGATTGTGCAAGGAAATGTTCATTTAAGTTGAATTAAAATTTCATTTCATTAAAGCAATTCAAGTGATAGGAAAACAAACTGCATTTCAAAATTCATATTAATGTTTAAGTTCAACGTTTTACTCAAGTAATGCAAAAATATTAGTCTTTGATATTAAATATTATAGTAATATTTTAGGATATTAAAAATGCAGATCACTTCTGCCCAAGATATGTTTTTGAATATGTTACAGTACGATGAATAATAAATGAACTATATTTAAAATGCATCTGCAGTGTAGCTATAGTTGTAAGAATCAAATCATAGTTGTAAATCTAAATTTATCCTAATTTATACATTATTAATAAAACATTTACAAAGAAATGCATGCTCATCAAAAAAACTGCTTTGCTCACATTGGTCTCAAAGTTTAGATATCTCATAAAGAGATATATGTAATAATCTAATATATATATATATGTGTGTGTGTGTATTTAAATTTACATTTAGACATTTAGCAGATGCTTTTATCCAATGTGACTTACAAATGTGAACAATGGAAGCAATCAAAATCAACAAAAGAGCATTGATATGCAAGTGCTATAACAAGTCTCAGAATATATATATATATATAATTTTTTTTTAAATTGTGTATTTTATTTAATATTTAATAAAGATTTAATATTTAATCATTTCTATTTGCATATTTAATGTGCTGACATAATCCAAATATATGAAGTAAAATTGGTTGGACATTTTTAATTATTAATATTGCATTAAATATGCACACAATAAAAACTGATAAATCTAATGAAATCTGTCAAGAAGGTCAGGCTGTATTTCTCCCCAAAATCAAAAGAAGAAAATATCATTGCCATTACTGCAATGCATCAAAAATAAGAATAATAATTAATTTAATTTAATGCTTTTTTTTTGTTTGTTTGTTTTTTATTTTTATGGTGAGCTGGATGTTTTACTGAGCTTTTTTTTCTGAACTATTCGCCAGTCACACTTGTCGTTTTATGATGTTCTTTGTGTTCATCTCTCTCCCATAATAATTCCATAATTCCATGTTCTTCCCTCTCGCTGTCCCACCTCTGAGCACAAGTGCTGAATGTTAATCAGCATTCAAAGCGAAGCGAGCCGAGTCTGTCTGTCTGTGTTTGTGTGTGTGTGTGTGTGTGTGTGTGTGTGTTTGAGGGAGCTGGATCGCTGTGATTGGCTGCCTGAAACCTGAAAGAGAGAGAGAGAGAGAGAGAGAGAGAGAGAGAGAGCTTGCAGCCTCCTTTGAGTCTCTCTGAGATTTAGAGACTTTCCATCTGCGGAGCCTGAAAGATAAAACAGAACAGCAAAGACGACACAGGACGACGTGAGGAAGTGGCCATTATTAGATCGTACATGGACATGTATCTGTGACTCGGTTTTGAGGAGACCGTCCCAAAAAATCCATCAGACCTATCATGGATCCCAGATGGATTGACCGCAAAGAGGAGTGATGCACATTTTCTGAAAGCGTTTGGTCCTTCTAGGCTGTAGACGAAAGAAAACCAGCTCCAGCTCCAAAAGCAACAGGCTCTCAGCCGTCTTCCCCTCGGATTGTTTTCTGTGGGTGTTTTTTTTTTTTTTTGCATTGCGTGCTGAGTTTGGCTCGTTGTTCGAACCTGCTGCAGGTGTGGGGATTCCTGTATGCCGCGCTGACCACCTCTTTTTGTGTCTTTTGTGAGGGCGTCGTGTGTGCATTTCATGTTTTTCCAGGTTTCCATTCGCCTCATTCCATCTGTCAGATCCCGGCTGTTCTTTCACACTTCCGAAAGCTTTACTTGCCATCTGTGGCATCACTGTGTGTGTGTGTGTGTTTGGCCGCTCGCTGTTTGCAATGTTTAGCTTGTAGAAGGTGGTGTTTGTAAGCCTCCTTTACATGTGTTCAGAGTCCGCAAGGGAAATACAGTACATTTCAAGATCACTGTCCTTTTTATTTTGCTCTGAATGACTTGATTCTCCAGTTTTAGCGTCTCACAAATGTAACGTGTCATGTATTGTTGTCCTACAGATGGTCGCAGACTCACTGTTGCGTTGCTGAACACGTTTCATATTGCTTTCATGTTTAAGGTTAGATATTAAGACGATGGTCTCAAGGCATATATAGTTTTAAGTGATCGCAAAGACCGCAAATCTGTGCTGGACTTACAAACCTGATGCAAAAAAGGACCCACAGCACTTATTTTCTCGCATCAGTCTATCTAAACACTTGGATTTTCCTTCATTTTTCAGCCAGATTTTTTTGTTTTTTGGGGGGGTTTTTGTATTTGGAGTTACCTCGTCTATTAAAGGAGGAAGCCATGTTGGGTTTTTTCATATGTTTCTCTTATTGAAGATTCACATTTATGCATTTGGCAGATGCTTTTATCCAAAGCGACATACATTGCATTTAAAGTCAGTTCTTGCTTAATCTGGGAATCAAACCCATGACCTACGGGAAGACTTTTACGCTTTTTTAGTTGAATATTTGATGAAAAACATCAGAGTGAACTCATTTGAAGATCCAAAAACCCACCTGGAGTTGATTATTTCCCATAGTGCACTACAGTTTCAGACATGATTGGAGTGAACAGTCTGCACTCAGCCGGACGCTTGCGCTCCCGTTCGCTCTGCTCCGTTCGATACGGGCGAGATTTCCGTATGATGGACCCGTTCCGTTACCCGCGAACGCCCAGATCCCGATCGCTCAAACCTCTGGTGTTTCCAGACCTCCTGGGAAAAGCACAAGATGGACAGAACCACCCGCAGGCCCGCAAGAGGAAGAGGGTAACCTTGTCTCGTATCACTTACCTGTTCATCTTTTATCCTGCTCACCTAGTCATCTGTGCCAAAAATGACATAGATGGACCATGCAAATATCATTCTCCACTTTTGATCAGATACAGCTCTGATTTGTGTTTTTAAAGACCATACACTCTTAAAAATAAAGAATCTTTAATGGTATTAATGGTTTCATGAAGAACCTTTAACATCCATAGAACCCTTCCATTCCACAGAAGGTTCTTTATAGTGGAAAAAAAGATATTTCGAGTTTTAAAATGTTCTTTGCACTAAGAAAAACATTGTTCTTTTAAGAACTGGAAAGTTCTTTGTGAAGTCCAACAATTTTTTTTTCTATGACATGCTATGCTGCAAATCCCCCTTTTGGAATACTTATTTTTAAGAGTGTAGTGTACTTTTAAGAGTACAGTAGCTTATAGATTATCTCAAAGCTAATAGGCATAAACTAAAAGAAAAATAAACTTCATATCTCTATCGGAATTGGTTTTCCTATTTATGTCTTTGAAATGAGCATTGAGTTTGTTTTGCCCTGAAGGACTGAGAGGGTAAATTTGCTCTGTGTTGCTGCTGAATTTCTAATACACATTGAGATTATTAGCTGTTCATGCTGAGGTTTCTTTTTTCTAGATGAAAGGACGTGTGGAGGGAGTTAATATGCTTATTAAAGTCCTTCTCTCATGCATATTTAGTTTGCCATCTAAATTAGGACATAGCATAGACTTGTATTGCTTTTATATACATCGTATAATGATCTCTAAGGCAAATCATTCAGCTATGCTTTGTAGAAGAAAAAAAAACACACATTTATTTAATTTATGAATAATTTTTGTCTTTGAGATTTTGTCCAATATAGGCACAGTCTTTGACTCTGTCGGAGAATCAGTGTAGATTAATTTGCCAACCCAGGATTCCACTGTGACGCAGGTGTTTGATGACTGACGTCCACACAGACTCGTCATTTACACAGATGATGTGTCAGTTAAGTGCTAATGTTCAGTTGGAGACCGTGCCGACAACAGCTAACACCATCTGTGATTGTTTTGTTTAATTTAGAAGCTATTTTATTTGTATTTAATTTTTATTAAAAATATATTTTAATTTAATTTATATATTATTAATTTATTTTTATTTTCTTTTAATATTTTAAATATTCAAATATTTATTTTATATAAATTTTTTTATTTATTTATTATATTAATATATGATATATATCCTATATTATAATTGTATTTCTTAATTATTTTTCATTGTGGTTTAGAAACGCGTACAAAAACGTCTCCAGGTTGCATATGTAACCATGGTTCGCCGAAGGGAACGAGACGCTGTGTCGAAACGCTACGGGAATGCCTCCAGCGTGACCATGCTCTGAATCACATGTGTAATCAGTCCAATGGATGGGCAAGACGGCACGGGCAGGGTGACGTAACGACCAGAAAGCATAAAAGCACGTGCGGTGAAACTGGCGTCAGCTTCTAGGAGTGAAGCAAGCGCTGGCAGGGATGCCGGAAGTATGGCCCTGAGACGCAGCGTCTCGTTCCCTTCGGGGAACCATGGTTACATACGTAACCTGGAGATGTTCCCCTTCAGGAACTCGAACTGCGTCGAAACGCTACGGGAACGAGAATGCCCATGCCGCCAGACTTGCAAATCCCTGCCTAGTGTGGAAGAGCACAACTAAGGCGAGAGAAAAGGGAGCCAGGAATGGCTAAAGTAGGCGGGGCCCGCCATCCCGATGGCCAACTTCTGGAGGAGTGAGCCATGACCCCCGAAGGAGAGGGGAGATCAGAGGGCTCAAGGCTATGGAATAGCATCCTGATCCACCACTTAGCATAAGCTTCTCTGGCCGGAGGCCTCGGCCTCAGCACACCG